TTCCACTCCTGGTAGTTATTGTTGGTGAGATGTTAGTATCTGTTGTTGATTTGTTACTGCTGTTTGGTTGTTGATCTTCACTATTATTGTAGTAGGAATCAGTTGATATGTTATTATCAGCTTGAGTTTCAATTTGTGTGGTACATGTATAAGGAAGATCTGACTCAGGAGCTGTATAATGTGGTATTTCTAAGCTACGTCTAATAAACTTTCTATTTCTTCTATAGATATTGTTATCAGTCTCTACCAGATATGATCGGGGACCAACTTTACCAACACATGAACCTGAAGACCAAGGTTGTTTTGGTTTAAATGGCTGAAGTCTCACAGGTTCACCAATTTCTAATTCAGGCAAAGGTTTAGTATAACGATCATAATTCAATTTAGCTTTCTGTCTCTTTATCTTAACCATTTCAGGAACATCTTGAACTACAGTTGGTTGAAGTAAGATATTAGCAACTGGCATAGTTGTTTTAGTTCTTCGAGACATAAGCTTTTGAACTGGGCTAAATCCATTAATATCAGGAGTATTTCTCCATTCTAAAAGTGACATCTGAAGATCTCCATTATCTCTCTTCACTTTCTTCAGAATTTGTTTTGCAATTTTGACTGCTGATTCTGCCTTTCCATTACTTTGACTATGTAAAGGCGAACTAGTCGAATGTGGAAATTCCCAATGTTTGGAAAACTGATCGAATTCTTGACTCGTATACTGTGGTCCATTATCTGTAACCATATCAGCAATACCATGTCTTGCGAAATGAACTTTAGTTGCTTCTATTACAGCATTAGACGATGTATCTTGTAAATGATCTAATTCAAAATAGTCACTATAATAGTCAACTGTTACTAAATATGATTCACCATATAATGAAAATAAGTCTTGACCAACTTTTATCCAAGGATAATCAGGAATTCGATGAGTCGTTAATGGTTCTTTGGTTTGCTTATTAGAATACTCAGCACAGATAGTACACTGACTAACATAATCCTTAATTTCACCACTCATACCTGGCCAAAATATAACGTCTCTAGCTCGGCGTAAACATGCTTCCTGGCCTAAATGACTTGTATGAGCTTTAGCAACCATTTGACTTCTTAACAGTTTCGGTACCAGAACTTTCATACCTTTATAAATAATACCATCTTGAACTATCAATACATCTCGAAAATTCCAGTATTCTCGAATGGATACAGGTACAGATTCTTTTGTTTCTGGCCATCCTGTTAATATTGTTGTTGCTAATGTTTGTAGAACTTGATCTGCCATTGTTGCTGACTTGATTTGTTGATGAGTACTGTCAGATAAACTCATATGCTCGATTTGATTGATATTTTGAATGTCTTCAAATAGAGAGTTTTCATTCATCAACTGGAAAATATGATATCTAGGTACACTTTCCTGCTTAGGTACTTGAGGTAAGTAAGCTCTAGAGAGTAAGTCTGATATAAACATATTAACACCAGATATATGGATAAGTTTAAGATTATACTTTTGTAATCTCATCATCATTCGTTGAAGTCGTTTCGGTGCTTGATGAATAGATTTCTTCATTATCGAAACTAATGGTTTGTGATCAGTGTGAACTGTTATAAGTGCACGTCCATGTAAATATTGATCAAAACGTTCACACGAAAACACAATTGCCAAACATTCTTTTTCTATTTGCGCATAGTTCTTTTCAGCACTAGATAATGCACGAGATGCGAAAGCAACTGGCTGGCCTTCTTGTAATAAACATGCTCCAAGACCGGTTTCAGAAGAATCGCATTCTATTGTAACATCTAGTCCAACATCATAATACTTTAAAACAGGCGCTTTAACTATTAATTGTAATATTTTCTGGTATGATTCTTCTTGTTGTGACTGCCGATGCCATGGAACATCAGATACTGATAATCTTCTTATAGGCTCTGAAACTTCTGAAAGTTTTGGCAAATACCTTGATAAGTATTGTACACAACCGAGTAATCTCTGTACAGCTTTAACATTACTTGGTTTTGGCATCTGTAAAATGGCATTCTCCAAAATGTCAAACTTAATGTCTATAGGCTTTTCAGTTCCTTTACTAACACTGAATGTATATGACCCCAATGGGCATATAATAGTACCATCATAGAGTTTAATTTTTCCTACAGTTGGTTGAAGTTGAACATCACCAGTCTGCAATATGTATCTTAACTGATCTATAGACATAGCTGAACATGAAGCACCCGTATCTAGCTGAACATCTACTATAGGTGAATATTGGTTATGAAACTTAAGAGGAATCATAAACTTAGCATAGTTTCTATCCAACGTCTTATCAAAAGCAAATATAATATCTGTATCAGAGTTAGAACTTTCATCTGAGTAGCCTTGTGATACATGATGTACTTTCTTGTCTTTTGCCTCCTTATTATAACAGCAAGTCGCGAAGTGGTTAGAACCTCCACATTTCAAACAAGTTTTACCATAGGCAGGACAGTTTCTTCTCTTGTGAAGTAAACCACAAAATCTACATTTCTTAAAATTAGTAGGACCATCATTAGTCTCCTGAGGAGAAGAAGCTGACTTATTCTCTGTGAACTTCTTCTGTTTGAAATTGAACTTGGTTTTCTTAGGTTTCTGTATGCGTTGTGTACCATGAACCTCATGATTAGTATTTTCTTGTGTTGAACGCATTTGTTCTTTATGTGTTTTAGACAATTCACTAGCCCTAAGAACTTCAAGACATCTGTTTAAATTTGGAACAGGTCTCTCTCGCAATAAACGATCTCTGGCTGCAATGTCTTTAGTACCCATAACAAGACGATCTCGGATTAAGGAATCTCTTAAAATGTCAAATTCACAACCTTGCTGAAAGTTGTCTCAATCTTACACCTAAATTATCTATTGTCTCATTTTCGGCTTGCACAGCACTGAAAAATTTGAATCTTTCAAACAAAACATGTCTCTGGGGAATGAAATGTGTTTCCAATTTTTGTAAGATAATTTCTGGATCCCTTTTATCTGCATCTGTGACACCAGCAATGCTGTTTAATATTTTCAAACATCCTGGGCCTATTACTGAACAAAGTGTAGCAGCTACCTGCGTTTTGCCAGCATTATTTGCAGTCCCATCTTCATTCAGCATCTTTTTATCTAATTCAGTAGCCAATAGATAAAATTCCCATTGTGATTTAAATGTTTTAAAATTTTCTATCATATCACCCTTTAAAGACATCTGGGCAGGGGCAGGAACTTGATAAGTTGCCATGATCAACACACTAATTATCAAAAGTCACTTCCAATAATCTTGAACAGCTTGCTCAATTTCAAATAAATCATAGGCCTAATCAAATATTGAACAACTATATGCTCAAATTAGACAGTTATTTATCACAACTCTTTACAACTGGATGCATTCACAGTTGCCTTCAAAGTCTAATCTCTGTGTTTTACAAGGTTTTCACTTCTGACACCATGTTGTAGTCAGTAGGCATTTCAATATACCGGTACTATTAAATAACAGTAAGCCATATTTATTACTATTGACATACTTCTTAATACAGAGTCAGCTACATATATAAAATAGGTCAACATCATTTTCGTACAAAGAGTAACAGTTAGTTTGGTATAAACAGTAAACCCCTTGATTGCAACCATACTGTTATTAACCCATAAACATTAAGTTTTCCAATTTTTTTTTTGCTTTGAATCTGCAAAGTCTCAGTTTGTTATCGAAATGTCAATTCTTTTTTGTGGGACTTTGATACTGCAAAGTCCCAGTTTGTTATCGAAATGTCAATTCTTTTTTTTTTTTTTTTTTTTTTTGTGGGACTTTGCTTTCAGCAAATCCCAGTTTGTTATTGAAATGTCAATTCTTTTTTTTTTTCGATTTTTACACACCTTCCTGAGCTTAGACTACAATAGTTGCAGCAACCAATCAACATTCACGAACCTTAGATATAGGCGACGATGTGCATAAATATATTTTGGATCTTTTTTGCAAAACCGGAAGTGCCACAGTTCAATATGTACA